CAGGATGTTGCTGTCTTCGGCTTTGTTTAGCATTTGTAAAATTGCATAGTAATGTTCCCTCTGTCATCTTCCATCTATTTATTCATGGCAGTCAGTCTTCTGTATTGCATTTTCTGATAGACCAAGATCTCTGAAACAAGTTAAAATTTAAGATCCAGTCCTCTTTTTATACCAGTTTTAAATGTACATTAAGCGAAAACTTGAGTTGGCATGCAGTGTAAAACGAGTCCTTCTTCCTGAAAATGAGTAAGTTTTTAAAATGGGGAAAAACACATGGAAGCTTAATTGATAGAGTTTCAATAACAGGCAATTGAATCCGAATTAATTATTAATCCGAATTAATCATCGTGTATCTACCATTATTCCTGTATTTGGGATATGCGCTGTAATTCCATGTTCTAAGAAAGAGGATGTGGGTTTTGTGAATGATTTATAGGATTAAAACAAGAGCAAGGAAAACATACAATTTACAGTAAATATTGTACATAGACTCTTCATTGCCAGATTATCTTACATTTATTTACTAGTCAATATTTTTCAAATTTGATTTTTTTTTTTTTAGATTTAAATTATGATGGCTTCAAAAAAATTTAAATCAGATATACTGCTAGGTTCATATAAACTGCATAATATTTTTTAGGTTTTCTGATACATGCTGCATTACAGTCATAGGTAGATTTCTGATACCATTGCTCTAGATATAGGGAGAAAAATTAAACTTTACTTTTCGTGGGCATTTGCAAGTAAAACAAAAAATCCACCTTGAGAGCAAACATTTCTTGCATATCTGAGAATGTCTGTCTGAAGTCTTGAGCCTGACTTATCACAATGCTTCTCCTCACTTACATCTATGTAACTAGACTAAATTCAAACTGAATTTTGGCAGGATAAGCTAAAGTAATGCACAAATGAATCATACCCATATCAATGTTAATTTTATTTTTTTAAGTTAGGAATAGGTATGATTTTAAAAACTGTGGCAACTCAGTTTTCTCTTGTATTTTAGACCTAAAAGACAATTCCATTATTTCCATTATGTACTAGCCCTAGTGTTTAGCTATAAGCATTTTTATCGGAGTAGAAAAATGTAAGACTAGTAAAGTCTGATTAATCTAACATTGATGCTATCCTATAGCATTGTCCTGTAGTGTAAGGTTTCTTCTCATTGAAATGCAGGCTCTCCAAGCCTAAAAATAGTTGTTTTTTAGACAAATATAGAAAGCCAAGATACATGAGTAAAG